AAGAGGCTCATCCCAATCCAGCTTCCTTTTTACGAAACTCTGTAACAGTATCTCTGCCGGAAGTAGCACGGGAGCAATGAGGCCAAGAGGATCATAGAGTGAAGCTACAAACGAGAGGATAACTTTTCGGGACAGCGTTTTATTAAAACTTTCCAGCTTAAAAGTTAGGTGACCCTGCGTGACGTTCCAGTTTAACCCAACGCATTTATAACACATTCGTCCTCAGTCGAATATCGTATTCCGGGAACCTTCAGTTGTATGTCAGGTAAATGCGTGATAACCTCCTTTCGATTACTGATCCATTTCGTCAAATGAAATCTTCCGTCGTACAAAATACGTGTGAGGGGTTTAACGAGTTCAGTTGCTTCGTGAATATAATCGAAACTACATAAACAATCGTCGACATAAAAACAGTTCTCTGCTACTTCTTTGTTTGGGATTCCCAATAACTATCAACGATAGCTTGTCGTAACGCAAAGTTAGCACAGCTTGGTGGCGAAGTAGCACTAAACGGATGTACAGTCATGCGGTATTCAATACGGGGTGAATAAAGATTGCCGTTCTTCCACCACAGAAACCTCAAACAATTCCGATCCTTAATAGGAACCTTGACCTGATGAAACATCGCTACAATGTCGGACGCGTCGGCGATCGGGTGGAATCTGGACCGCAAAAGCGTCCCCACTAGACTGTTTGACATATCGGGACCAGGTGGAAGTTGTTGATTGAGGGAAGTTCCACGGTATGAAGCTTGACGATCGAAGACCACTCGCATTTTACCGGGCTTATGTGGATGTGATACCGACTGGTGGGGTATGAACCAGGTTTCCCCTTTAATCTGCTGTTTCTGTGATGGAGCGCGTTCAGAATATCCTTCAACTATATACCCTTCCACTGCCTTGGTGTATGCTTGGCTCAGTGTGGCATACTTCGACAAATGTTTCTTAAATATGACAAGTCTCAAGTGCGAACTGCCTGTTGTCTGGTAACCGAGGTTTCTCGGGTTGCCATAGTAACGCAATCTCGTAGTGGACGCCAACTTCTGTTTTCGAAGCTTCCATTAGTTTTGACGCGCGACCGTCGTTCACAGACATGGCTAGTCGTGGACTGTCTAGCCCGTCAAATTCCCTTTCATAAATTTGCTCTAGTAGTTGATGAAGGTCGGTGGTATCGCAGCGAAGTGAGTTGATTCTCCGTGCTCGATCAACTATCAGTGATGTTGATTGATCTCTTATAGTCTCGTGCTGTTTGTTCGGTCCCATTACGATCCAGCCCAATGGAGTCATAACAGCATACGGCTCATCAGGATCCCAGCGTCTCTGATCTAATGCCCAGTGTAGTTATGGGTTATCGCTACCAATCAAAAGTTCAACCCTTCCAGCTCCGGTAACCGTAGATCGGAGAGGTGGGACCGTCTGTAAAATCATTGTTCCTGGTTCCCGTTCCAAGCTTTTCAGGGAGACGACTGACTGACCTAATTGAATCCAATTGGACCGCCTCATCACCGTCTACAGATTGAACAGTTACACTAACCATCTGAGACTCCACTTGGCATCGGCCAGCAACGGTGCTAATGTTGTCGTCACGGACCCTGGAACCCCGATAACTTGTAGTAATGTTGAATCAATCAGTGAAATATCTGTTCCATTATCTACTAAGGCTACTGTTCGAATGGTGCCAGCAGGACCAGAAACAAACACAGGCAATAAACTAAGGGATACAACAGAGCGTTCGACGTGACTGACAACAAAACTGAATAATCCTTCAGTGTTTGGTGTTCCGAAGTTGCTTAGATCAACGTAGAGTAGCGGGTGGTGCAATAACTTACACTTGTTCGACCCACAACACGTTCGTGATCGGCATCTTGGTAGGCCATTATTCGGTTTGAGACAAAGTTGACACAGTCGATGGGTGCGACAGAATTCAAGACGTCCGTGGTGGTTGAGCTTTCCGAAATCATCACACCGATCTAACTAGTGACGTTCACAGGAAACACATTTGGGGAAATTTCGTTCTGATGAAGCCGCAGTGTTTGTTGTTTGGTTGTAAGCAGCAAGTAAACTTTGTTCTATGTATCTGCATCTAATGCCACTCAGAGACAAAGACCCGTTATGTTGTGTTGCGCTCAATATGTTTTGCATCGACAAAGTGTTTGTCCCGGAACTTCTTAAATTCCGACACCGTCTTTGCCTCAACTACATGCTGCGGCAGGCCGTTCCTTACATTCATCACTTTGCGTTCGAAACAGAGTTGCTGAGCTACCCGCTTCAAATTCGGTACGATAAGCTGGTACCGGTGTCCTCGTGCGCTGCTTGGTGTGCGCAGTTGAAGCAGCGGTCTCAACATGGGGTAATCTCCCAGATATAATATCCGGTGCGTCATCATGAGGTCAACTCGCATTCGATGATAAGCTAGGGTGTACAGCCCTAGTTTCTTACACCGGTCTTCGTACGGCACTCCCCGTACGTTGGGAATCAGCCTGGTGGCTACATGCTTCACTCGCTCAGTCTTTTCTACCTCGCCCCAGGTGATAGGACAATACGCGGGAGAGCCATACTCTAGCATTGGTCGTATTATTGAGACGAAGAGGCCAGTGGCAATCTCTTCGGACCAAATGCTGAAGCTGCGCCTGAGCGCCCAAATCATACGAAGGTTGTTTTGCAAAAGCCTATACGTGTTGTCCATGGACTTTAGCTTGTAGCGTGAGAGTACACCGAGGTCGCGCACGAAAGGCGCGGGATGCAACAGTTGACCAGCCACCGTGTAGGTTCGACTGTGCTCACACTTACCCAGCCTCATGATTTGCGCCTTGATCGGGTTGCTCGGAAGGTTGACCTCTGCAGACCACGTGGAGGAGCGGTCGAGGTCCTGCTGAAGCAGGTCACAATCATTGGGTGTGCGGATTACGCTCCACACGTTCAAGTCATCTGCGAACAACGCACAAGGTGATTGGAGTAACTGAGGCACATCGTTTACATGGATGAAAAACAAAATCGGCCCAGTACAGTGCCTTGGGGCACGCCACTGCTCGATGAATACCAGTTGATTAAGTGGTTGTCCACCTGGACCCTCCACTTTCGATCAACAAGGAAATTCCTGATCCATTGGTGCAGCAAACCACTAACACCGCACACCCTCAACCTGTCGAGGAGCACTGCATGATTTACCTTGTCAAAAGCCTTACTGAAGTCAATGTAAATGACACCGACAAATTTACCTTGGTTCAGCGCTTGTAACCATTCGTACCTCGTCATCAGTAGGCTGGTGATGCACGAGCGACCTTTCACGAAAACATGCTGTGCGGGCGTCAAGAGTCTTTTCGACTCGAGAAGCCGCAGAAGGCTCTTCTGCACGATCTTTTCGAGCGTCTTTGCCAAAACTGCGGTCAGGCAGATCGGCCTGTAGTTATCCACTTTGCTTAGGTTACCACCTTTCGGTATTGGCTTTACGACTGAGCATTTCCAGTCGCCCGGTAATATTCCAGTGGATAGTGGCCTGTTGAACAGCTCAGTTACAGAAGGCGAGATGATGGCCGATAGGGACTTGAGAATCAGTGGGTGGATTCCATCTGGCCCAGCAGGCTTCGTCCCGTCAAGACTTGCTAGAAGCTTGCGTACATCTTCAATGCTGCAGTCTAGTTCAGCGGGAGCGGTACTCGTCCTTGATGGTGATGGTGAAGATGATGCTGATGATGATGACGATGATGGTGGTGGTGATGGTGATGATCGTGATAATGATGAGGATGACGATGATGAAGGCACTGCTTCTTATGCCGTTCTGGTCGTGTTTGATCTCTTTTGTTTTCGAAATATTGCTCACATCCTTTAGGAAGTCTAAATGAGAAGTGCTGGAGTCCGCCTGTTGGTTTAAGCTATGAAACCTTTCGTTGCACCTCTCGAGTGTTCGCTTAAGCCTAACTGTTTATGTTGGCAAGGTCATGTCCTCTGTATGCCCGTCGATCGAATTCTACAGCGTGCAATATACGCTTTGGCTGCACGAATGTGGGCAAACCCCAGTGTTACCAGTCGATGATGTGGCATAATGGCATGTAGAAATTCCAGACTTGGTCAGACTGGATGGGGGCCCCTGACGATCCACATCGGTGGTTGGAGGCACTATCGGAAATGTTGCAGTCGCGCAGTCAGTGACATATGTGCATTTGGTTTTTTGATTTTTTTTGCAACCGGTTCTCCTCTGAGCTAATCGTTTTGCTTAGTTGCGGTATAAAGTTTAGCAAACCTAATCCCCCTATCTGGCTACGATATTCGTTATGAAACAACTGTCTAGGATCCTGAACGAATCTTCTTTTTCAACTTGCTTATCAGTGCCTAGCAAGTATGATCGCCTCTCTGTGCAATTCAGCCCTGCGCTAGGTGCTGGTATACGTGCCTATCTCAGCGGCTTCATCGTCTGACTAGCCTACCTAATCGTTCTGTGGTAGTCATTGCATGAACCGTAACCATACCCCTATCTTTTAAATGATCGACATGCGTAACTCTAGAGACTAAACTCCTGTTACGTTTCCTACCAGAGGCAGCTGTCTGTACTTCGTTTACATCATTCAACACTTCCCATGGAGTAGTTGCCCTTTCACCTAGGAATTGCTAAGTCCAAATAAAACCCATTGCGAAAACATCGTCTAGTCTCTATGGTCACGTCACTTAAAAACAGAAATTCCCAGTATCACTGACATATTAGCAAGACTCTCATCTACTGCGGCATGGTACCTTCCGATATTTTTAATTAAACTTGCAACATTCTAGCAGCCTCGATCACATATATGCAGTTATCTGCAGGGTATTGGTTTTTCGTGCATGGATTTTAAGGCTGTAAACGTAGCCGCTTTCCTATAACATTGGTTCTAATCTTTTGAACTCCCAGGATAACCATTAACAAGCTAACCGGAGTCCAAAATGTGTGACTCAGTTTCTTTATTTCTTCTCAAGGTGCAACTGTTTTGCTATTTTTATCGCTATTCCTTCTTTTCCGTTTTCTTTCAGATCCCCTCCTCCTCTTGGCCCTATTTTGCGAGCAATCAACCATTTTCCTACCCCCCTTGGGCGATCTCTCCTGAGGAATTGGCCAAGTCCTCACGCATTTTTTCGACTATTGATCTAGACGCAGACGGCTTAGTTTCCGGTACAGAGGTACGTGACATCCTTCTGCGTTCCGGCTTGCAACAATCTATTCTTGCTCAAATTTGGGACCTTGTGGATATCCAGTGTTCGGGAATGCTTAACTGGTGAGTTTGTCGTGTCCGTGTGTCGAGACGTGATCCCCACTTTACCAGTGTTTGCTTCCGCAGCTCTACACACTCAGAACTCGCGGTGCACTTTGTAGTTTTCACCTGTTGCCGGATCATCGACAAACTGATTTTCCTGGTGCTGGTACTTTTTAACTTGTAATACCAGTGAAAACCCCATTGACCTCTTTTTGGCTTTTGTATTTTCACATCCGAATTGGCTTTTTTCGCAAGTGCTTTCTGCTTTGTTCCCCGTTTTTCGCGGCGGTCAACATGACCCCCAGCTTTCAGTACACCGGTTTTATCTTGACAACATTGTGTCTCACGTTGTGCGCATTTTGTTTGACGTACCGTATGTTGCCTGTTCAACTACTACGGAACCGTTTTGTAGAATCGTGCTTTGGGACACTATACACCCATGTCGGCTTGTAAATGGATTGTGCGTAGATTACTGTTTCGAGCTGTTTGCGCCTCAATATTCACGTGATGTCCAGACTGTACTTTGACCATTGGTTTCACCTTCCACGTTTCTTCAGAAACACTTGCAAGTCCACAGTTTGAGTTAAGCAAATTTCCTCTGCATCCTAGGTGTCGGAAGTTAGAGAGATGTCAATGACTCTCTTCTTTCAAAACCTAGATGTCAGAGGTACGATTGACGAGTTGAAAGCTTAGCTCGATTGGGCCCTAAGGCACCATGGAGAGCGTTGCCCTACCATCCGCCTCGTGCGAGGTCCCGTTGTTCAAGAAACCACAGACTTGCCGAACTTTACCTGTGGTTAATTCGTGGTTGTACGTGCATCTCATGCCGCGAACGACAACCATTCATGAATTGTTTTGGAACTTAAGGATACATACAGGGGTATCAAACAGATCCTAACGAGACTACAATCACGCTCCCCAGCTGGATGTTTTCCCACACTCTTATGGGTCAAACTACTCAGTCAAAGACTAGAAATATGGAACCTCGAACAAAATCTGCCTCCTCGAATAGGCAACCAGAGGATTACATCTGCTGACTGGATGGCGTCGCCCGCTCTTTCAGTTTTATTTCTGATCTTTTCATACCTACGCGACTAATGTTAACCACGTACTCCAATCATTCCTCATTTAAAGGACCCCATTTTTGTTTAATTTTTCTACCTTCTTCTTCTACGTCCTGTCAGTCAACAGTCGCACTTAGCTCCACCTTCTTTGCAGCAATGTGTGCTGTATCCGAAACACGCATACAAGATTACATCGTAGTAACGATTTTTCGATTACGGGTCTCAGAATCTGTTAATAATGACTATATTCTTCACACATTTGTTGTTTGGCTGTTTTGGGTTCTAGTATTACTCTCGGCCTAAGAGCCAAGAGAATAGTTTACCCACCCATTTACTAATCGCATGTAAGCGATTCGACTTCTGATCTCCGTAGAATTTTATAACCCTTCTCTAAAGGCACTGTGCTTTTTTGTTTCGATATATGCTCAAACTGACTGAAGCTCCATCAATACCAGAGACTAATTCTATCGACGGATCTCGTATCACAGAGAATATAGCTATAGTAATTATTACCGTGATCAGCTTGGATCGCTTATTCGACTCGGAATAACGCGAGAGATGCTGTCCAGGACCAGATAATGACCAGTGGAATTATACCGACCAGGCTCTACAAACATTCATCAATCACAGTTTTAACCTTGATAGAGTTGCTCCCCAGAGCAAACATCCCATCACCATACTTGGCACTCATCGAATCATTGATACTCTGTATTTAGGCTGACCGTGTTACCACCGGTTACAGTTAGCGCACGCCAATCCATAAGTGTTGGTCGGTCTGGTTTTAGGGCCTAGATTCCGAGCATATCTTAGTGCTCGTCCACGCGTTGTTTTCTCTCTCCATCTCAACAAAGTACTCAGTTTTTGGACTCCTTATTCGTAACCAAGGTTCACCGTCTACAATGCGGCAACCTCCGACGAACTGGCCCATCAATTTTCGTAGGTGGGGGAGGTGGCTCAGCCGAACAATGATTGGAATCGTCTGCATTGTGAGATGAAGAAGGCTTTCCTTCTACATACATGGATTCCTTACGCATCGGGAGATTTAACAAAAACAACTACCTTGTTTTCGTTGGGCGTTCAGTTTCCGCGTGTCTGGATCACCCTGAAACGTGGTCTGACTAGGAGTCCTAGAATCAACCGGGACCATCGATGCATGAAGAGCACCCGCGCTGTTGGGAACAGCGGAATGTTGCTCCAGCTCATTCGACGAAGGGGTCCAAGGAACTACCCCATCAGGTTGAAAATAGCTGAAAGTCAGTGGATCTGCTGTGACACCATCATTTCTTGAAGCACCTGAATTCTCACGGGGCATTGATTTTCCATCCGCACATTGTTTATCATGAACTGGCTGTTGAATTGAATAAGGCACCAGGTTTCAACCACTTTATTCGATCGGGGATTAGCTTGAAATAATCTGAAATACTGGTAGCCTGGCGAACCACCCAAACATAAATAGGCTCGTTTCTGTTTAGCTGAATCTCTCCGTTCAGCACCGACTGGAGCACTGAATAGATGCCTTAAGTCTAGCGATTGTTCACCGTCATCTTCACTATCATCATCGAAGCATTCCCAAGATTGTTTTCAGGTACCATGCGCTTCGGTCTACTGTTCCTCGTTGGAGCCGAATCGGTTAAAGCTAGGCTGACGTTGCTCACATTTACTTCTTGTCTAGGACTGGAACAGCTACTTGCATATAGCAACCCTAAAACGTGGCTTTTCTTTAACTTGGTTCTTACCGATTCAACAGTTTATGCGAGCTTCTGATACTGCTCATCTTTGAAATACCTACCACTAAACGTACTATTATCCATGTACTGCGATTCCCAATACCTACTGGAAGCTGCTTATGTCCCACTCGACAACTAAGGTGCACAACGGTTACCTGATATCTCGTTTCCGTCAAAGTTTCTGGCTGAATTCGTCACGAATAACCGTTTTTACGCCCCCTTCTGGATTGGGAGCGCTGCTCTGGAATCACTTAACTAACCAGGAGTGTATGGACACTATTGATATCCTTGGGTCGAAGGCTCCCTGTGTACAAATGCCTCTAAAATGACTGACACTGTCTTTTGCATGATTGGGAAGGTCTTTCACAACTTTGAAGTTCTAGACGCTGTCACAAGATGTGGATTACATGCCACTCTCCGAACAATCATTCTGAGCGATCAGCCGATTCGCTTACTCAGACACTTGTATCTTTTCTCGTGGTTAAACCACTGTAATTTACCAGTGCATCCCGCATGGCTTTCCAAAGTTTAAGTAATTTATAATGACAGCGCGTCATCTACTTATCGGTGGAGGGGTAGGTTGTGCAACCTTGTGATGCGGTCGGTGCTACTGTATGAAATTGACTCAATCTGATCGCCGGTGCTTGTGAACTATTGATCGTGTCTAGTGGAAGCATCAGCGTCTACCAGTTGGGGCTTATGAAAGTGTACAGGGTTTAGGAAAACACCTGTTACTGCACTGTTGGCTGACATATGTCCTTCGCCCACCCACTGTCCCACTTATGGGGCCGTGTACCGTCCGTCGGTAAATATACAAATTTATTTATTTATTTATTTATTTATTTATACTTGCCCCGGTAAGCATTATTCACGGTGACTGCACTTAAATGTGAGATGACTAGTCCATGGTGTGATAGAAATTCATGATGCGATTAACTCGTACACGTGGTTAGAAACCTCGAGCTAGGTCACATCGGTGGTTGGAGACCGTACTTCGGTTAGGACGGTCATGGAGTCACAGTTAACACATCCAATTTCAATATTTTTTGTGCATTTTTCTGCTTCACTTTTCACTGTATTTTGCTTTGCAACTGACGTTTCTAGCCATTATTATACTGGCAACGTCAGTTGTGGCAACCCAAGCAACCGCATTTCGACACTCTGATCATATTTGTTTAATTTGTCAGATCCGAACGGTTTCATTATTCGTCAGCTAAGCATATCATACCGTGGGTATCCGACCTCCATGCTATGGCTTGACACTTGCCTCAATCTACGCAGAGTTCCAGTTGCCTAGCGAAAACACACCCTGTTCGTCTTACCATTCTCGTGTAACAAACGTGTGATGACGTGCGTCAACGTTTAGCCTACAGATGATAGCGTTAACGTTTAGCATCATGATCTGCTTCTCCTAGCATGCACTATGAGTTGTCTGATCTCACTTTTACACCACCGTTGTAATTGCTATTTCCTTCCGGAAACTATCGAACTGTTAGGCACACACTCGCGTGTTCTCAGCTTCACATCAGCTGATATTGCTTACCGTCGCCCTCTCCATCACCAACTCGGACAGCTAGATGGTTCAGGATCATTGTATTTTGCTTCTATTGTTTCAGTTTCTCGAAGAACACAGTTTCACCTTGAGTATTTTCTCAGCAAACAACAATTGCACATGTACACCATTTGCCAGCACCACAAAAATTTACGACAGTCGTCATCCTCCAGCACTTTTAGTATATTTTCTCTTTTCAGCTAATTATACTGATGCTATCGTAATGTTTTATTATCTATTTTCCACGACACGCCTGGCCGAAGGGACCTAATTCCGTCGTTTAAAAGATAGGGCATCACGTTACCATATTGTATGTCCACTTCTAGCTTAGTGAATAGCCTTTTCTAATGCCGTAATGACACATCATGAAAGGGTTTAGCTGTTTATATATATATATATATATATATATATATATATATATATATATATATATATATATATAGTTTCATCAATCCGTGAAGTGGACACAGAACAGATGTTTTACCATGAAATCCCAACCCCAGTTATGCTGCACGCTTTCACCTTAAGGTGAGACCTTTGTTGGAACGTCATATCTGAAATGAGTGTTAATACTCTGTGTATATTTCGGAGTAGAGCTTCGGGCTACTTGTTGCCGCATTTTATGGCAAAGCAGTCATCAAAACGATATCGTACTTTCTCTTTGTTTCTCCCCACAGTGAGCAGTTTGCCGTCGCAATGCATTTGGCCACAGAGCAGCTCTCAAGTATGCCCTATGCCAACCCACTCCCCATTATCCTACCACCGGCGCTGGTCCCTCCCAGCCTCCGGCCTCTACCGCCAGATCCAGCGATGTTTGAAGAATCGAACAGACTGATAGCCGAAATAGAAGCTCTTAACCGGTGGGTTTTGTTACCTCTCGTCTCTTTGGTACACTTTCATTCTAACGCTTCGGTACACTTTATGACACTCCACTGCGTTATTTATATGTACACTCTGCGTGTGTGAACTGTGCCAACGGTTTACTTTCGCTGAATCAGCTGTCTGATGAGGATGGTGTTCAACCAGCAGTATGAGCAACTATTTCTTAAACCGATCTCATTTTACCCAGTTAAATGGTAAAAATCCCAAACTTTTATTGATGACTGGGGCGTCTTATGAGCAGCAATCCTGTCCGCTCTTCTGATCTCCCTATACATCACAATGCTACCAATTCTCCTTACTTCTATTGATGTAATTACACTGATGACATAATTTTAAGCAGCATTGCTCCAACTGCTGAATTATCAACGACTCTCCAAATCATGTTGGACGAGCTTCAGCAGTCGTCGACATCCCGATCCCTTATTCACAACGCTCCTAAATGCCGCGTTGTAACGTTGTCTTTTTCCGCACTGACAAACGTCGGACTGTGACAAACACATATCTTTCCCATGTTCGTAAGCGGCTTCAATAAGCTCAGTTCATCCACTTTTAAGTACCTTGGTGTATATTTGTCTCACAATCCATCTTGGTCAACACATGTTGCTGAAACGTTCCGCAAGTTGCGAAATTGTCATTCCACATGCCCTGAGACTCAAAATGCTTTCAGTACCCTGCTCTTTAATTTACAAATTCGTGACTGCCTGTATTTTTCCCCATTGGTTTTATTGCTCACCTATCATTTTTCTGGTCTTCTACCAAAAGACTTCACATTGATTGCGCGTGCCATTAAGCTCGTTTCCATATGTAGTGGAGTATCCATAGATTCTGGTTGACGTCATCATTACTAAACACTTTGGTGCATGTGACCACTTTTCAGCAAATGTTTTAAATGATCCGTTTCACCCCCTTCACCCTGATTTATCTAAAGCATTCTCCTGCGCGTCTACCCGCTCTAAATTTAGGGTTTTGTTTTCTCTCACAGCACATTACCATAACTCTATCTTACCTTATTTATCCCGTTTTCTTGTGGACTCCAAGCAATTTATCAGCACCAAGGTGCACGCGTACTTGTTGGATGTGTATACATCTTTTCTTCTTTTTACGCTTCTGTTTCAATTCTATGCCATGTTATTCCTCTCTATGTCCGCAGCACTGATGTAAAATGCTGAAAATGTTCCCAATCAGGTTCACAAAGCCTATTTTGACTTGACTTGATCTCTCGGACCTTCCCATTGCTGGCTCCTAGCCTTTAGGATCACAAGCCTGCATTGTAATCCGAGGGCGCATTTTCTAGCCTGCATAGGTAACCGGGCGACTCTCGTAGTGTCAGTAGCTCACGTGCGACTGGTGGTAGTTGCACGGCAGCGGAACATCGGTACTGCATACCGGCGTACTTCTTATGCCTTTCTTTTCTTTCCATTCATGGAACGAAGCCAATGATAAAATACAGTGCGGAAAACGATCAACACTGAAATTGTCCCCCTTATGATTATTTATTTAATCCTTTTCTTTCTTAACTCTCTCCGCTCCTTCATATCTACACCCCTTTTGTTCTTCGAGATCGTCTGCACATCCTCAGTTGGATGTGGAATTATCTTTCTCAATCATAGACCCCCTATGCGTAAGGAATGCCTTTTGATGAAGTTATTCTACCTGTGTTACCGATTTGTATTCACTTGTCTTATGCTTAACCTAAGCTTCTAATATGCATTAGTTTAGCCTGATTTCAGCTGAAGTACTAGGCTCGAATTACGCTCTTCTTTGATCTAATTCATGGCACGTGATTGGGAGATCGCTTCACACGGTAATGCCCTAAACTCTGGTATCTGTGACAAGCCCCGGACTTCGCCATCTCTGTAACTGGACTTTATCAAATGTGTAACAGGAAGGCAATAGGATCATCACCCTCATGGTTGGCGGCATCCGGTTTCGGATTTGCCTGTCACTGTGGCAAGCCACAGCACGCCTGCGCCTACAGAGGGACCATGGGTGGCTTGCGCTGCACCACCCACAGCTCCAACCACACACCCCATATCCAGTGTAAACCCGAAGGAATAAGACCAGGAGGCATGTGGATGGGAGCCACGTTTCATCAACGGAGCCGGCCCACACTCCTTCACAGGCAAACACAAGCACACTGTATTTGGGGAATCAAGCGCACACAAGGCGGTGGCTGGACCGTAGTCCGCTCTACACTGAGTGCATGGAACCACACTTCGAGCTTAGCACGGCCACAAGGA